TATTGTCTTAACGTTTCAGTTCATTCTGCTTTTTATTCAGCTTAGCTGCAGATATAGCCTGGCACGTCTTAAGTTATTTGAGCGCGAGATCACTTCTCTTTCAGTGCGAAAACTTTATCTCATTTTCATAAAATAAAATGCTATAGTATTTAACTTTTCCTCTCCATCAGCGAATGATGATTCGGAAAGAAATGCGCTGATGTCTGTTTGCTAGCAACAAACTACTTTCACGCATCTGATTATCAGATTAACCTCGTGCTCTTATTTCAAGGTTGTTGTTAATGCTGTGGTTATTTTAACAGTGTTCTTCGTACATTCGGTTGAAGGACATTGTTAAAACATTTATCATTCAATGGAACGGTGCGTATGCTTTCGACACTTACATTTCTGCTCCGTCCATGCAGTAAATGCGCAGCCTTCGACTGCTCAGGTAATGTCGTCGGTAAGATGCCGAGAGCCATTGAATAACTACAGAAAAGTCAAACTACTTCACTTTAGCATTACTGGCCACGAGTCCTCCGGAGAGGTCACACATCAGTGAGACGAGCGGAGAGCGAGCCCGTGAAGGAGAGATGTGAGGCACGAACACTGTTCAAGCTCTCCATTAATTCCTGCTTGTAGTCATTTAATGTGTATATATTTTGAAAGCATTGAATCGCTATAGAAATCACGATTCATTCGATTCTTAGTGTTTTAAATCGATTAAAGTCCGAAATCGACGATTCAGAAGTCCATGTTTCAAGTTCGATGCATTGCATCGTCAGGGTTTGTAATCGATGCATCGAGAAAACAAGTGAATCGTTACACCTCTACTAAAATAGGATTATGGTCTCATAATTTTTATGGTCTCTTGATTGATGTGATTGTGTTCCCACTGCATCTCAGGAGCGCTCCAGCATCTCCTAACCACACGGGGGTGCTGTCAGCTCACTCCAGCGGCGTTCAGACTCCAGACAGCTTATCAAGAGAGGGCTCACCTGTTCCTGTGGACCCCGAGCCCACGCCTGCCTCCCCTCACGCTCACGCCGTTCAGCCCAAACTAGCAGTCATTGCTCAGAATGCTCCAGGTAAGATCATCCTCATGCACGAGTTAAACCTCTGCTGAAATAAAGACCACTATAGGAAATTTGTTATGGAGTATAAGGCCTACAACGGTGTTCACAAAACAGCCTGATGGATTCTCTGCTGAATCAGTCTGAATCAAATCGATTCTGAAGCATCCTTATCCAGTTATCACAAATGCCTGGAAAAGTCATGGAAATTCATTAATGAGAAATTATGGAAGCCCTGATGTGTTTAAAGTTTAAACACATGGTCTTTTCTTCCCTTTTTTGCCAGTTGTTTAATTTGAAAACAGCACCTGGGCCTTGTAGCATCACTTTTACTGTTGTTCACTCAGAAGTATACATGAGCCTATAAATATGTAGTGTCCTTTATGACGTATGTTCCACACAGGTTCGCCTCTCAACACCCAACCGGTTCTCATCACAGTTCAGCGGCAGCTACCGCAGACCATCAAACCTGTGACCTACGCCGTGTCCGCTCCCAGCTCCCAGCAGCCCCTGATGCAGACGCTGCATGTGCTGCACCAGATCCCTGCTGTTTCTGTGACCGGACTGTCTGCAGCAGAGCCGGGGTTTGTCCAGTCCAGCATCGCTAAAGCAGAGCCACACCAGAACGGAGAGCACCAGGAGCTCAGAGGTGAGCACGCTGACCTGGATATTGATTATATGAATGATTTTATCTTATTACACGGCTCTCTGGAATACTTGATTCTGATTGGTCAGTTGTGACATTCTGAGCTCTGATATTTCTGATGACGACTCATCAATAGCAGTGCCGTATATATTATCGATCGCTCATTAGAGTATCTGAAGCGTGTGTCGTACCTCAGTGCAGACTCGCTCTCTGTTCAGTCAGTCAGTCAGTGTTGATTCAATTCAAGCAACAACAACGTCAAACTCAGAACTTTTATTAACAAAACGAATAAAAATACACCATATAGGCTTATGCCTAATAAAATAACAAATTACTTACTTACACAAAGTTTAAATAGGTATATAAAACTGAAAATCAGGAAACACTGTGGAACCAAATAAATAAGAAACAGAACGTTTATTAGCAAAACGAATAAGAAAGCTTGGAGGCACGGCATATACACCTTGATGTAAAATAAAATAAATAAAATACACAAAGTTTAAATAAAGTAATCAGCAAACACTGTGGAACCAAATAAATAAGAAACGAATGTTTAAAAAAAACTTCCAGTCAATAGGCTTTTCCAAATCTAAAATATTGCCAAACAGGTGCCTTTGCATTTCCTTTCTAAACAATCTTCTGCCACCGTCTTGTGTTTCTCAGCTCACTCGTGTCAGTCAGCTCGACTCACTCTCCTCACGTGATGAATACAATCTGACTCGTTCAAGCTCGGTTCGGCACGCTGTATTGAGCGTTTAGTTTTTAAAAGTGTCTGTCCTCTAACTGAACTAGGCTAAATGATTTTTGTTACTATAAAAAAATCAAACCGACCGTGGGGGCGGTGCCGCAGTAGGCAAATGACGTAACCGGTGTTGCGGCTTAACACCGGCATAACCGAAAACACCGTCTATCGTAGCAAGCATATTCTTTACTTATGTGGCACGTAGCCGTGTAATGATGTATATCCAGCCTGTGGATCCTCGTGAAGGGGTTTATTGTGCGATAAGACTCGCTGGATGTACATAACCAGTCATCAGAGGGATCATTGCTCCTCTTTAATGCTGTTCATGATGTTTTTCTCAGTGAAAGTGGAGCCGGTGCCTGCTATCACAGCCAGCTCTCTGGGCTCGGGTCGTGTTGTCCAGTCTTGCCCCGTACAGACGGTCACTATCCTGCAGAAGGCTCCGGTGGGCCAGCATCAGCTGCCTGTCAAAGCCATCACTCAGAACGGGACGCATGTGGTCACTGCTGTCAGCAACACGGGTCAGGAACCAGCCTCAGCGCTGTCAACTTATCTCTCCATATTCACATTATAACTACAACCTTTTATCAGAATTTGTGGCATAGCTTAGTACATTGATTAGAGCTGGCTGCTTGTTTTCAACTACAGTGTTGACATATTTTTGTCTTCAGTTACAAATCTAACGCACCCCTTTCCTTTACACCCACACGTCCTGCTAAATAATCATGATCTCAGTATTAAAATAATTGTAATTATGATTTTGCTGCAGTTGAGCAGCACTAGTATATTTCATTAGAGACATCTTTGCCTTTAAATCCGTGGTTTTGGGTCCTGGTCCTGGTGTCTGACACTGCGCTCAGAGATGGTCTTATTATCAGGAGATGTGAGGGTCGTTAGTGCTTACCATTGGGAAAAGCGTAACTTGCCTTCCTGTGGCTTTGATGGAGTCTCTCCTAACGAGCTGATGATCTCAATCAGGTGTGTTAAATAAAAGACACATGAGACCTGTGCAGAGCAGGGGTCGCCAGGACCAGGATGAAGAGCCTCTGCTTTGAAGATATGAAATGCTGCCCCTGGTGGCTGATTTAATGTGGGTTACGGTAAGGTTAGGGTTAGCTGAGGTTAGGTTAGATCAGTGTTTCCCAACCGGGGTGCAGTGTAAAAAAATATTTTTTTAATATTTTTAAATTGCTAAAATGTTCATTAAAGCAGCTATTATATAATATCCATTTCTGATGTTGCCAATAATTAGAGATGCACTGAAATTCCGGCTGCCGAAAATTAGTTCACCGCTCAGGATTCACTTTCACGTGGTGTGACGCTCTGCGTATTATCCGCTCTATGTGTGTGCGCTCCGCTCAGTCACTCCACTCGTATACCATTCATGCTCATCGGAACAGCAGAGTCCACTCAAACATTGAGCTGACAGGAAACA